TTTAAAATAAATATATTATATTTTTCAGCCTTGTCCGTTATTGATTTCCTTTAAAATTATCCTGCCGAGAGACTAATCCACTGAACTATTGAATTGGCAGTTCGAGCCATAAGCTAACCCTTTAAATCCGAACACGAACAAACTTAATAATTGAATAATCAGCTATCTCTTATATTGAATACATATAATAATAAAACTGTGCGTTCGAAATTTTTTGTTTATTTTGATCGATTCGTAGGATCAAATGAATTTAGTTTTCTGGCTCAAACTGTCAAGTTCAATAGTTCAGTTTATTTGTCGCTCGCCTTAGTGATGCTTAGGAAAGAACACACGTGGAAGGTCTGTAAATATATACAGCGTGTAACATCGTTTATGACATCGTTTATTTAGTTTTATTAACATTTACACTATTCTTGTTCTGTATTCACATCGCGTAGGAGAGAGTGAATTATGTTCTATCACAATGATGACGATGCCTCTTGGTAACGGTGGCGATGTCTTTGATGATGTTATGGGGATCAGCAAAAGATTTTGTATATTCCTTGAAGTGAAATATGGCTTATTGGGTTCTATGCTGATGTTGTAAAGGTCAATAAGAAGAGTCGATCATGCTCATTCGGTGAGCATGGGAAGGTGGTAGTGGTAGTTAGCAGTGAATAGCAGGAGAATTGACCACACTCATAAGGAGAGTAAAGGAATGTCTCTGTGGTAGTTAGCAGGGAGAATCGGCCATACTCCCATACTCCATACTCATAAGGAGAGTAAAGGAATGTCTCTGTGGTAGTTAGCAGGGAGAATCGGCCATACTCATAAGAGGAGTATGGGAATATCTTAGAGAGAATCGACCATACTGATAAGGGGGGTATGGGAATGTCTCTGTGGTAATTATTCTCAATAAAGACTGATGGTACATCTTTGAGTGAAGAAGAGTCCGATACCATGCTTTGTGTAGTTAACTATTTTCTAGAACTGCAATCAGCCCTTGATTGGTTGTTAACCCTGCATAATGGAGAATTGAATGTGTGTTCCTTGCAATGGCTGCATTGAGAGAGCGTGTGTTGCGTGACTTTCTTTCTGTTGTAAACTCCGTGTAATGACGTGGCTATGGCGTGGATAACTAGCTAGGAAGAGTGACTGATTTTGAGGA